CATGCAACACCCGCTGAGTGGCATTAAACAGCTTGAAAGATCAAAGACAATTTTTAACATAACTCTGACTGGATTCGTCTGAAAGAAGAAAGTCATATACATCTAGGATGCATCGGGGGTGAGTAAAACGCAGCCTCATTTTTATTTTTGGGTGATTAATGATCTTAAGGCAGTTGGGACCACAGTCACCAAGCAAAACATTGGTAACACACTACGCCACAATGGACTGAAATCCTGCAGTGCCCGCAAGGTCCCCCTGCTCAAGAAGGCCCGTTTAAAGTTTGCCAAAGAACATCTAAATGATAAATGATTCAGAGAAGGCTTGGGAGAAAGTGCTGTGGTCAGATGAGACCAAAATTGAGCTCTTTGGCATTAACTCAACTCACCATGTTTGGAGGGAGAGAAATGCTGACTATGACCCCAAGAACACCATCCCTACAGTCAAGCACGGAGGTGGAAACATTATGCTTTGGGGCTGTTTTTCTGCTAAGGGTACAGGACGACTTCACCGCATTGAGGGGCAAATGGACGGGGCCATGTACTGTAAAATCTTGGACGAGAACCTCCTTCCCTCAGCCAGAACACTGAAGATGGGTCATGGATGGACCTCTGTGCTTGCCAACAAGGGTTTCTGCACCAAGTACTAAGTCATGTTTTGCTTGGGGATCAAATACTTATTTCACTCACTGAAATGCAAATCCATTTCTAACCTTTATATAATGTGTTTTTTCTGGATTTTTTTGGTTGGTATTCTGTCTCTATTTGTTAAAATAAACCTACCATAAAAATTACAGACCCTTCATTTCTTTGTAAGTGGGCAAACGTACAAAATCAGCAGGGGATCAAATAAATATTTTTCCCACTGTATATATATGTTTATATATACAAAATACCTTTATACATTTTTGAAAGATGTCTTCACTGTTACATGATCCAGAAATCACTCTAAAACAGTTGTGAGTCAGGGTAGGTTCAAAAACATTTTTTGTTATGCTAGTTGAAAGTCTCTTCACATCCCAAAAGCAATCACTAGGTTGAGTGGTCTAAATGTATTTATATGTATTTACATTGTCTGTGGAAGGTGTAGGACCATAAAATGTCCTATCATAACCCTCGGTCTGAAGGCTACTAAAGGCTGTCCTACTTTCCTGTGAACATATGTATTTGCATACCTCTGCGCACCCAGTTTGCGCAGACATGATATGTTAATCAGTGCGTTCCATTGCACTATTGCAGACCGAGCAAGAATGGAAGCCATTATTATTGTAATACAGTATTATGTGCTTTGTACTGTAATGTTTTCTCACCGATGAATGAGACATGAGATAATCTGACAGCGTTGCATTCAACCCTCCACCAACCTTCTTTCATTGTGTCGCTGGTTAGCCTCTGGTCTGCACGTTCATGTGTTTTGGAGGAGGCGTGGCTACGGAGAGTGATTTGCAGAGATGGTGGGATCTTATGCTTTTAAAGCTAGCCTGATATTGCTAGCCTCTCCGAAATCGCCTACCCTACCTTTAATATTTTGTGGAAACCATGAGAATTGTTTTTAGGAGTCTTTGGTAAATAAAAAGTTTGTAAGAACTATTTTATTTGAAATAGAAATCTTGTAAATATATGTCTTAATATGTCTTTTGCAAATACCAATCAGCCAGGTTTATTGTCATTTTTTAACACATTTTATCCTCAGAAATCACAAAACTTTTCCATTCAGTAGAGACATCAGTTGTTAAAATCAACATTATTCCCCTTGAAAGTTCATAGGCATCATAACAAAAAATAAATGTTGTGGTATCACCAATCCCTGTCACCTGTAATCATGGATGCCTGCTGCTTTCCTCACAGTGAGAGCTACAGCTTCACAAACACCTGTGAGCCTTGCAGGTGTGGATAATTGGAAATGAAGTATTCTCAGTTGTGACAGATTGTGCAGTCTCTTATCTGTTGATTCTCAAGATATGTCAACGGTCTGTAAAATGCATTCAGCTTTATGACTGTAGTTGATTGTTAATAAACCAGGGTGTATTTGTATGTGTGTCTGCTCTCTCTTAGGCCGTGTTTGACTGTGTGGTGAACTCCCTGAAGAACGTGTTGAATATCCTCATTGTCTACATCCTGTTCATGTTCATCTTCGCTGTCATTGCTGTGCAGCTCTTCAAGGGCAAGTTTTTCTTCTGCACAGACGAGTCCAAAGGCCTGGAGAAAGACTGCAGGTAGTGTGGGATTAATACAGGAGCAGAGAGTAGGGGCTGATTATCTCACACCTGCAGCTCCCCCTGCAGGCATACAGCAGTAATGTCGAAATCCATGCAAAAGTGCCTGTAGAAATTATGAGATAATGAGATAACGTGTTGAGTCCCAGAACTATGGAACGCTTGGAGTTCCACGTTTTTAAAACTATCAGGGAATTTTAAAAACAAGCCATATAAAAAAAGAAAAATGTTGGGAAAATAATTACAATTTCTTGAATTATTGTACATTTTTCTAATTATGTTCAGCTCTAAAATACTTTCCCTTCTGCTCTTTGTCAATAATTTCTATAAAATTATTCCTTAAAGTCTTAAAATAATAATAATGATTTTAAACTTTGAAGTGTACTGATAGTACCAGGTTCAAACCACTGTAAGCAGTGTTCTGAAAACTGACGTCTTGAATGGGTTTATCTTTTTATTTGCTCTTTCTGTCATTGTCTTTGTGCTCATTAGAGGGCTGTTCTTGGATTACGATAAGGATGAAGTGGCAGCCCAGCCCAGGGAATGGAGGAAATATGAGTTCCACTACGACAATGTGCTGTGGGCGTTTCTCACTCTCTTCAGCGTTTCGACTGGAGAGGGCTGGCCAACGTAAGTCAGCAGACATGTGAGATGGTCCCTAATGGGGTATATGCCAAACGTCACCTGACCAATCCAGAAAATAGATCTCATCGCATCCGCTTATTGGAGAAAGTGTTAATAGCAGTCTCGACTGATAGTGGTTTCTATGAACTTTTAAGGTAATCAGTTAACCTAGCTAATTGTTTTTACTGTTGCCGTTTTATTCAATTTTAATATCCAACTGAGAGTGAGAAGAAGAAAAATAAAAAACCTTTCAGATCTCAATCTGCATATGTGAAGGTCATCAGTTATGATCATCTTTGGTATCTCCTTTGAAGGTATCTTGAGTATCTTGTAATCAGCTCTATATTTAATGAATACAAAAGACCTGAACCAGAAGCAACGTGACCTGTTTTACAGAATACAGAAGTTTGTTGCGCATAAGCCCATTACACTCACAGATGTTTTAAGCATTATATACAGTACAACCATTTGCTATTCAGTATGTTTTTGTAGGGATTAGAAACCCATAAAAGCTTCTGTCCCCTTCAAACACTTTGTGTCATCTGACCCCTCAGTGGCCTTTTATTCTCTCACTTTAAAGGCCGTAATCAGTTTGAAGTGGTTCTCTTTGAGGCTCTGTGATACTGGCAGCACATCTCTTGGGAGGCAGACTAGGCAAACGTTCATGGATCAGCATCAGCTCAAACTTACAGCCAAACTCATAAATGTGCTGGAAAAGCCATTGTAATTGTCTGTGATTTATTTGTTTTTTTATTCTTTTATTTTATTTATTTAGTTGTTCACAAGCTTGTTGGGGTCAGTTTTCTGCACCTGCTGTGTAATTCTGTTTCCTCTCAGTGTTTAATCATTTAATAAAACTATTTAAGTGTATTTAGTAATTCAGAAAAGCATGATGCAGTCTATAAAGATGCTCCAGGTTAAGACCAGTTGTCAGAGGAGGAGGAGGAGCTCACTTGCTTAAATTAAAATTCTTTATTTTTATTACTTTGGCCACACTGCTGATAAAAAATCACTAACCTGTTAAAGCTATCCAGTTGAACTGTGATAATACTGTGTGACTTAGATCTTGCAATATGGGTAAAATAAATTAATCTTTTCTCTCCCACGATGCGCTTTATTATCTTAAACTGTATAGGGTGTAATGGTGTAATGTTGACTGTGTACAGGGTTTTGAAGCACTCTGTAGATGCCACTTTTGAGGACCAGGGTCCCAGTCCTGGCTACCGCATGGAGATGTCCATCTTCTACGTGGTCTACTTTGTGGTCTTCCCCTTTTTCTTCGTCAACATTTTCGTGGCCTTGATAATCATCACATTCCAGGAACAGGGTGATAAGGCCTTGTCAGAGTGCAGTCTGGAGAAGAATGAGGTATAACAGAATAATGTATTTACTGTATATATCACATAATATGGTTATAGTTCACCTGCAATAGGCAGGTGTGGTAAAAAGTATTTGTGTTTGGTATTTAACATCATAAAAAATATGTATTTGGTATTTTACATCATAAAAAAGAGATGGGCAATTTGACAATTTTGTGTTAAAATTTTCATATCACATGCAGTTATATAATAATATAATAATTATATATAATAGTTACTATTTTTATATTACATACAGTATATTATTACAATTATTTTTTATAAAAAAAAAAAAGCAAAATACAGTTTGTTTAAAAGTAAAAAAAAAACACTTCTGTAAATTTCTTAGTTCAGTCAGACAAGTGTAGTAAAAAAGTATTTAGACCTTGCAAGAATCTAAACAAAATCTCAACAAAAAGAATCCCACTTTTAGGCTGACATTAAGAGATACAGCGACAGACATTAATCTTTCTCTTACAAACACTTGAGGTGTTTTTATTGTTTAGTGATATGATACGGTACCTACAATGAAGCCAGCCATGTAACAGCTGCAGATGTCCAGGTAGGGAATTGTGACAGGATTAATGCATGTGCCTGCGGCGGACCACACACACCTAAATACACACACAGAAACAGGTATAGATTCGTACACTGACACACAGTGACTAAAGACATACATAGAGACAGCCAGCCCCATGGAAGAGCAGTCAGCAAGATGTTCCTGTCCCATTTCCTCTGAGGCCCCATTAGACGGACCCAGTCGTCTGCAGAGCCTGTGCTGTTTCACTCTCTCCCTCTCCATATGCCAGCCTAACATGACTCACAAACTGTGGTAAAAACCCAGACCTCAGGAGAACTCATTTATCATCAACATTCACGGCAACACAGCCAAAAAAATATCAGCGTCATTAGAGGTCTATTTTCTTGTTCCTCCACAGGTTAGACGGTGTCTTCCACAGTTGTCACTGCTATTTGTATGATTCGTTTTGATTATGAGAGAGAGAATGTGACTTCAGAAAGCCTTTTTCTGAAAGATAAAGATGGACAACAGTAGTTGTGTGTGTCTGTTATGTGAATTTATTCTTCTTTTGCTGTTTTTCCTCTCAGAGAGCCTGCATCGACTTTGCTATCAATTCCAAACCTCTGACCCGCTATATGCCACAGGACCAGCAGTCCTTTCAGTACCGCTTGTGGAAGTTTGTGGTCTCTCCACCGTTTGAGTACTCCATCATGATCATGATTGCTCTCAACACTGTGGTGCTCATGATGAAGGTCAGTCAGCCAGTTTTCTTTTAGAAGCAGTAGAGTCCTTGGAGAGTTACTTGACAGCTATCAAAGTTTCATTCATTTTGCATGTGCTTTTTATACTCAAGGACACATAAATTGATCAAAAGTGACAGTAAAAGATTTCAGTTTGAAATAAATGCTATTTATTTAACTTTCCATTCATCAAAGAATTCTTTGATGATCTAAAATATTAAGCAACATTCAACATTGATAATAATAAGAAATATTTATTGAGTACTAAATCAGCATATTAGATTTCTGAAGAATTATGTGACACTGAATGGTGTAATGGTTGATCAAAATTCAACTTTGCCAGTATAGGAATAATTTACAGTTTTAAATATACTTCTGCTGGTTTTATTGCTGTTTGTAAAATGACATCATTTGTTGTAACAAAATAAAAAAATATATATACCCTTGTCTTCTTATACCTGCAGTTCCATGGGGCACCTGGCTTTTATGAAGCCATGCTCAAGTATCTCAACATTGTTTTCACTGCTCTCTTTTCAATGGAGTGTATTCTCAAGATTATTGCTTTCGGCCCCTTGGTGAGTATCATCACTTGGCCCAAAAAGAGCTGCACTTAAAAGCCATCTTCAAGGGATAGTTCACCCAAAAATGAAGCTTCTGTCAAATTACATCTTTTGTAGAACAGAATCGCTGGAAAAGTTCTATAGCTGTGGTCCACTTCCACATTCATTGTGTGGAAAAGAGCAGCTTAGACATTCTGCCAAACATCTCTTTTTGTGTTCCACAGAAGTTCACAGATTTGGAACAACATGAAGGCGAGTAAATGATGACAGAATATTCATTTTTGAGTGAACTAATCCTTTAACACACAGTAACAAGTTCCTGTGTTAGAGTGTGAAATCGTAAGCCTCTCCAACCTGTCCCCAAATGATCTCTCTAATTCTCTTCTTCTCAGAATTACCTGAAAGACGCCTGGAATGTGTTTGACTTTGTGACTGTGCTGGGCAGCATCACTGACATCTTAGTCACTGAGATTAACGTAAGTGAGCGGCACTGAGCTCTGTGTTTGAGCTCTATTAGAGGAGAGTCTCAGAGCTAGACCGAGTGTAATACCAGACAGCAGAGATAGGCTGAGAAGAAAAGTCCAGACATGAATGATGATGAGCTACAGCTACCCATCACAGCTTTGTGTCTGGCTCAGGAACAGAAGGGAGAGAGCTCTGTGTTGTTTTTCCAGATAAAATGACAGTTATTGAGTAACCAAATTCATTTGGTAATGCTCACTTTAATCAAATCACTAGTTTGTGGCTCTGATTTGTGCTTTATGATATTCACAAGTCTTATGTTGTATTATACTGTATGTCTTGACATCCATGTCATTGTCAAAACTACTGATGGTAATTGTGTTTGTTCTGTAACTATATTTGTGCATGATGGCTGTTCTTGTTCTCCTGTGTTCCTTAAATGTCTTCACTCAAATCTTGGCTTGCTCCTGCCACGATTTAACATCTTCATGTATAGACTACGGTGAGTTGCTCTCTTGTCTTTGAACTTATGTCTATTCCACCATGCTGGGAATGAAAGAACTTCCTATTGCAGAAAAATGTGGCACATCATATGGCAAGGTTCTTCTTTACTGAAGATAATGCAGCATCATTTCACAATCACGCCATGTTTTTCAGTTGGCTATGTAGTAAATAGGTCTGGTTTGAAGTCATTATGCTTTACTAATGCTTATCATGGATCGACATCCTTGTTGGTCCAACCAATCAACCAGTCATATTGTCTGCATTGTCAGCATTGTTGTTCCAGGACCAACAAAAGATACTGATCCAAGAGTACATCCTACTTGACCATTTTTTTCCACAAATAATTTTTCACACTGAATCCAATGTAGAAATTTCTGGAAAAGTCTAGGGCAGGGGTAGGCAAGTTCGGTCCTGCAGAGTTCAGCTCCAACCCTGAAAAAAAACTCACCTGAAAAAAAACTCACCTTTTGATTAGGAATATTTATTTGATCTGCAGGACTGCGGCTCTCTAGGACCGAACTTGCCTACCCCTGGTCTAGGTTGTCTTAATGCAGGGATTCCCAGACTTTGTGTCAGCCAAATCTCTTTGACCTAAAATATTTACTTTAAGTACTTCAGATGTTGTTAATATTTCAATAAATGAACAACACATTCGTATGTTCACGTTTCTCTGATGTTGGTTAAATGTCACATGACATGCAGGTAAACAATAAAATTTATATACAATAAATTTTTTATTTCGATTGTTTTAAGTTATTAGCTTTTTATCAGCTCACAAACTCTGTGCAGTTCTCTCATGTATATCCAGGAGTTCACAAATCTGCCTTAAGGAATGACATTATTGACTTTTGAACAATAAAAATCTACTTAATCTCATTATAAAAAAGATAATTGCAGTCTAGTATTTCAGGTTCAGTGTGATGGGATTCGAGAAATTGTCTCATAGAGATTAAAGGTATAGTTCACCCAAAAACGAAAATTACTCATCCTCATGTCGTTCCAAACCCGTAAGACCTTCGTTCATCTTCAGGATACAAACTAAGATATTTTTGATGAAATCCGAGAGCTTTCTGACCCTGCATAGACATTAACGAAACTAAAATGTTCCAGACCCAGAAACGTAATAAGGAAATCGGTAAAACAGTCCATGTGACAGCAGTGGCTCAACCGTAATTTTACAAAGCTACGAGAATACTTTTTGTGCGCAAACAATTCTTCTCCTCCAAATCATGTATTCCGCCATTATCGAGAGTACTTTTGCACATAAACAACGCATGCGCGTGATGCTGCTGACGTAGAACAGGTATGTGCTGAGCCTTGTTTAGGTGCAGAGGAAAGCACTCTGCACGATGTGCATGTAGTATTCTCATAGCTTAGTAAAATTACGGTTGAACCACTGATGTCACATAGACTGTTTTACCGAAAGTCCTTACCACGTTTCTGGGCCTAGGAACATTTCAGTTGCATTGCTACCTATGCAGGGTCAGAGAGCTCTTGGATTCCATCAAAAATATCTTAATTTGTGTTCTGAAGATGAACAAAGTTCTTTTGGGTTTGGAATGACATGAGGGTGACTAATTAATGACAGAATTTTCATTTTTGGGTGAACTATCCCTTTAAGGTCTTATACTATAATACTGTTATGCATGTTTTAGGGTCCAAAAATAAAAACTTAATGTTAAGAGATATGAGGGTTGACGTAAAGAGTGCTGAGTGAGTAAATTAGGAGAAATTAACTTTCAAATTGACAAAGCCTGTGTTCCCACAGGACCGTCTGTTGAACTTGAGTTTCCTGAGGCTCTTCAGAGCAGCCAGACTCGTCAAACTGCTCCGGCAGGGATACACCATTCGCATTCTGCTCTGGACATTCGTCCAATCTTTTAAGGTAACTCTATTTAGACTGTTTTGATATTGCTTGATATTAATTGTTGGAGAGTTTTTTTTAAATAAGTCATGATTTCTTCTTGTTTATTTCCAGGCACTGCCTTATGTTTGCCTTCTAATCGCCATGCTGTTTTTCATCTACGCCATCATTGGAATGCAGGTATCTGTAATTTAAGTGCATCACTGATGGTATTTTCCAGTAAAAAAATCATTGCACTACTCCTGTGTAGTTTACTATAGGCAAATTAAAATACAGAAATGGTATTCTGTCTAAAGGTTTAATGTAACTGTTTCAAAATACATGCATTTAAAGTAACTGTATTGTGATTCCAGGTGTTTGGGAACATTGAGTTGAACGATGATACCGCCATCAATCGTCACAACAACTTTCGCACTTTCCTCCAAGCGCTTATGCTGTTATTCAGGTCTGCACATACCTGATATTCTTTAACTACTACAATCAAAGCCACCTGAGAATGCAGGAAATCTTAGAGAAGCTTCTGGGGTTGTATAACAGAATCAGAATCTAAAGTCTAAAAGTCTGACACATTATAATGCAGATTAGATAGGATTTTAGAGTTGGAATGTTTCTGTAATACAGCCCCTGAACACTATATTTAGCCAGATCTTTAAACTTTAATAGCGCACATTTTTCTAATGCAATTAGGATTTTATGGAGAGCTGTATTTATAATTGATCAAGATCTTTCATGGTCAGAAAATATTACTGTATAAAGTATTAAAATGGAATGGAATCATAGGTTCTATCTATCTATCTATCTATCTATCAGTCATCTTGATTATTTGTAGTACTTGGTTTCACTGTGTTTACAATCGCTCTGTTGTGCTCCTTCTCTCTCTGGTCTCCCCTTTTGGTCAGATTGAATTTTAAAGTACCATCTGGAGTATCAGCCATTTTGATAAAAAAAAAAAAACTTTTCATTCTCCTAATGAAATTCATAAATAAATTTCCATCTTTCCCTTATGTTCATTACCTCGAAGCTTCCTTTGAGCTGAGAGCCATGAGCAGACAGCACATCAGTGTGACAACAGTGTTATAAATGAAATCTGGCTCAACTGTGATTTAAATATCAGCACTTTTCCCATCATCTCCAGTCTGTTATATTCTCTGACAGTCATTCCCGCTTTTAATAGCAGATGCTGCATTTATTCACTCAGCTCATCATGGTGTCTCTTGCAGGAGTGCCACTGGTGAAGCCTGGCATGAGATTATGCTGTCCTGTCTGAGTGAGCGCACCTGTGACGCAAACTCAGGCATTCATGGAAAGGAGTGCGGGAGTGACTTTGCCTACTTCTACTTTGTCTCCTTCATTTTCCTCTGTTCTTTCTTGGTTAGTGCTCAGAGTCGAACCAGCTAAAACAGGTTTATCATTACTAGCTGTGTTTCCATCCACCTATTTTTATGCGCATTTTGGACTATCGCATAAAAAAAACGCTGGATGGAAAGGCCAAGATGCGCATAAATTATACAAATGCGCATAAAAAAACTTTTTATCCGATAAGAAAAAATGCGCAAAAACTACGATAGAAACACATTTACCGAATAAATTCCTCCATGCGCATCGAAAAAGTCATGTGACTTTGCGCTATGAGACGGGATAACTTGACTAACCAGCGGACCGATCTTGTTCACAGCATCTTTATGTAGTTATGGTCATTCTGAAATGCCTGAGCAAAGTATGTCGTCAAAGTATTTCTGTATCATTGTCTTACACGACTACAATTACAAACAGCTGGCATCTACCTCCGAAAGCAATGACTGCATTTATTGTGTTTCGTTTGCTCGCTCTGAGGCGCAATTAATTTATCATATATGAAAATTATTATATTCAGTGGCTTCTCCTAGTTTTCCTAGTGATATTTAGTGCCAGTTTACCAGGAAGTGACGATTTTGTTCTCTTTGACCCGTTGGATGGAAACTTTGCTTTATTCGCAAATGTTTTATGCAATATTCCAGTTTTGCGCATAAGTTTAATTCGAATCTTTGGATGGAAACATAGCTACTGTAGCATGCATCACATTCTACTGCCACAAAACTGCTTGTTTATCTTAAATCTAAAAACCTGGCTAAATGTGATGCTGAAATATTCCATTGTGTTTGGAATAGGGCTGGGTAGTGATGTAGATTTCCTGATTCGATTTGATTCTTATTTACAAGCTCTAATTTGATTCCGATTCAGTATGCTTTAATTAAATTTTGATTCATTGGGCATTTTTCAGCTAATCAGTCACATTTATTAAGTGCTGTGAAAGTTTTAAACAGACAACAGCAAGGATGAAACACAAACACAATGCACAATAAAATGCAAAAATGATAAAATTGTCTCTTCTAATGCTGTAAATTATTCAGGGCAGTGTTTCATACCGATTCAAACTGGTAAAGGAGCATCACACTACACTTTTTTACCATAGACTTCCATTCATGTGCATAGGAATGCTGAAGACCCGGAATCACAAAGTCATAAGAAGTTTGAAAAATATTTGTGTGAAAAAACATTTTGTGTGACCACTCCTTAACTTGTTTTTTAAAAACTATTCATTAAAAGAACCAGCTCATAACAGTCACTTGGTTCAATAACAGGGCTATACTGTATGTTTTTGTTTCATTAGAAAGAATCAGTTTATGAGAGTAATTTGATCATGAATCGGACTGCATTGGTCATGTTGCATTATTTTTGCATGCAGCCCACCCAAACAACTCAATAGAAAGACATTTATATGTAGTCTTTTATTAATGTATTAATCACATTTAATACATACTGCAAACTGACATTTACGACTGAGGTAAAATATTTTATTGATTCTAATTATTTCTTTTGCCATGGTGCTGAAGATGAGGCTTTCACTTTTTTTTAAAGACTGTGATTAATCAGAAAATCTATATTTTTACCCAACCCTAATTTGCCCTAATTAATGCCATACTCACAGATATTTTTTCTGCTCCATGACCTTCAGATTCTTTTCTCCCACCACTTTCTCCAGATGTTGAACCTGTTTGTGGCTGTCATTATGGACAACTTTGAATATCTTACACGTGACTCCTCCATCTTGGGCCCTCACCACCTGGATGAGTTTATCCGAGTGTGGGCGGAGTATGACCCAGCCGCATGGTATGTTTCAGCCTGCATACCCCCCCCCCTTGCCAGATGGAGACCTACTCTTGTGATAAATATAGTAACTGAGTTTGGCAACAGTTGAGAGAAGGAGAGTCATTCTGTTAGGACTCAAAGGCCTTCTCAGGTTAGACCACAGAAAAAAGAGAGAGAAATGCAGAATATTCCCTTTGATAATGTGTGATTGATGATCTCCCACACAATGCCCATAAGAATTGTGGTCTGGAAGTGAATGGGATCTTGTACTCCTATCCGCGTCCATTCTTTCCACAACACAAATGTGCTCTCCAAGCTTTCTTCATGAATGTGTCATGTTTTGCTTGTTCTTTCCGCAGCGGACGGATTTCCTATAAGGATATGTACAGTTTGTTGCGAATTATCTCGCCCCCCCTTGGCTTAGGGAAGAACTGCCCTAATAGGGTAGCATACAAGGTTTGCAACCCAAGCAACTTCTTCCACTTGTGTGGCCTCTGTGTGCAAACGCCCAGAGACCCAACCTTGAATGGCTGTGCTCAAATGACTTGCCTACACACAAGCACTTGCCCCACCAGATTTGACTGGCTTTGGTTAATGATGCTGGATGGGAAACAAAGCTTTCAAGGCCACATATCAAGCTAAAACCTCCTTTTATGACACTTATGCACAGTTGTCATTTTCACAATTCAGGGTGTTGGCACTAATGTTACATTATCAACCAATATTTTCACATTTATAAGTCAACCTCATAGCTATTATTTGCATAAACCGTTCAAATGTAATAGAACAGAAACTGGCGTTGAAACCTTTGTTTCCGTGCACTGAAAGAGGAAACTCCCCCTGATGTCTCAGCATGCAGATGCAGACATCTTCCAAACAATGCAGCCATTCTGTCACCATCCACTCCTCGTGCCATCTCACTCACCTCTTCCATCTCTCCTTATCAGGGATCAACTCTCTCACCTCTGACCTCTAACCTTTGGGATCCATCTCTGACCCTGCCAGGCCAGGATGGCATCCCTGTCCATGACACTCTTGGAAATCTAATTAACAAAAGATTTCTGTTTTTTTGTCGTCTGTTGTTTGTCTTTTTTTCATTTCGTCTTGTTCGGTTTACTTCCTGCCCTCCTTGTTTCTCTTCCCGTCTCTCTAACCCCCCATCCTTTTCTTTATTTTGGTTTTTTGCGTTGTCTACACTGTGAAGTGGCCGTATCAAGTACCTCGATATGTATGAGATGCTGCTCCACATGTCCCCACCTTTAGGTTTGGGAAAGAAATGCCCTCCACGAATCGCCTACAAGGTAGCTCAACTTCACATGCCCCCCTCTCCCTGCTCGTACTGTCTTCCCATTGGCTTATTCTTCAGCCAATCTCTGTGCTCTTGCAGTGTTTCCCCTCTTTTTTTATAGTTTTTTTTATTTGTTTAACTTTTTTTTTTTCTCCCCACGCTCTAATCTTTTTGGTGTAGTCCCTCTCCCTTTTTATTCGAGTCTTCCCCTCCACTTCCTTTGTAATCTAGGGATGGTCACAGACTAATGATGAGTATGACTGCAGAACTTTAGTTTATTTAATGTTTAACTACAAACCAGATTCATTGGAAATACATGCCTATTTTGACATTTCTGCAAAATGATGTTACATCTTGCACGTTTTGAGACACTACCAAAGTTAAATGTCCAGTGAGTGACATTAAAATTCAGTTTTATGCGAAACAGTTAAATGTTAATCTAACAATGCTTTAGTACATTACGTGATATACATATCGCAGCAGTTACAAAATAAAATGTCTGGTGAGTGGTGCTAAAATAATAATGCTCTATCACGTTTTAAGGTTATGTACCACCTATGCAAAACCCTAACTCATAGTGATACAACACATTTTCTGAAGCAACCATGCCAACAACCATTTTAGCTTGCTTCTGCAAGTCTTTGAGCTCTTTTTTTTGTGACTCATATTTCACGGGACTCTTACCTGAGTGCTCCATATTGAAAATGCAACACTGTACCAGGTGAGCTAGTGAGCCAGTTTACTAAATCAAAAAGCCATACGGAGCTGGTTATGTTATGTAAATGTCAAAATATATTAGTCTACAAATCATGCATTATGATAAGTGTTTTGGGGTCATGACGGGGTATTGGGTAAGGAAACGTGCAAAAAATAAGTGTTTATTGATCGATAACCTGCCCCATAATCATAATTTGTGTGAAAAAGAATAAAACTGCCACTAGTGTTAAATTTACTTTTACTGCCACTAGTGTTAAATTTAGCTGGAAATGGCTGCGAATTGTTTGTGTGTACAGTAGGTACATTTTTTGGAGTTTTGCAAAAATGTAGGTAGAAGCATGTATTTCCATTGGGCCTATGTTGTTTAATTATGATGATAATAAGTGAGACTTAAATCTCATTTTTATCTGTGGTCATACTTCATGTGTATAACATTTTCCCCATAAGTTGCATTGTGTAAGGGTTTGTGCACAACATTGTAAAAATTATTTTCTGTACCACTGTAAATGCAAAATAGTTTCTGTAAACTAAATTTACTTAAAACATGTGCCCAATTGCTCTTTTTGCGGGTTTCTATGTCTTTGGGATTTACTTGAAGGCCCCAAATCTAGCTCAAAAACCTCTTTTAGAGCCTTTGTTATATTAGAATAGAAAAGGTCCCCTCTCTCACCCTTGTTTCATGGAGCAGTGTGTGTGTAACCTAAGTTGCTTTCAGTCATGAGAACTTTGCACTTGAACTCTCTCTTCCTGTCTTGGCGGTCTTTCACTTATTCTCCTCGTCTTGCTTGTGCTGTCTTTCTCTCATCCACTTGACCATTTCCTCTCTCTTTTCTTTGTCCTGTATTCTTCTCTCTCTCTCTATGTCTGCAGTACGTTAGAATGTATGTCTGTGTGTGAGAATGTCCACCTATTTTTTTTTTTCATTATGATCTGTTTTTCTTGCACTGCTAACTGCTAGTTAAATGTATGCTCTCTTTGCTCAGGGGAGCTCAACTCTTCACAATTAATCACACTAAACCATACTCCCATGATACAACTGAGTTGTCATGTTTAAAGGTGCACTCGGTTATTTTCCACTTAAAAACCATACAGAAATTAATAGAGAAATATGTTTAAAATCATGTGCAGTCACTCACATGATTTTAAACATACACACACACAATAAAAACGTTTATTTTGCATAGAGCAGGTCGCCCATTTTGAGATCACATGACTAGCCAAATACAAATTATTTTATTTCTGTAACACCCATATTTTTGGAGACCTTTTCTCACAGCACAGAATAAATTAATCATGACTGACTGCTAGTATAGTATTTCTGTGAATGCATTATAAAAAAATGTTTTTTGTGAGGCAACATCCACACCACTAGGTGTCAGTATACAGTAAGTACAGAACAGCTGCATTTTCTGGTGCAATATAAGTAAAAAAATGAGTGCACCTTTAAAGGTGAAGTGTGTAATTTTTGAGACTCAATTACACAATTGATATTTTAGACATGATTTTTACTATTTTTCAAAGGTGTCATCCGAATGATTCAGTTGAAAGTTGCCAGTGTGTTTAACATTGTTTCAGCTCTAAAAAAGCCACATCTGGTCACCAATTGAAACTTTTAAATCTAAAAGCAGCTATTTGCTGCAATTTTATTGATTAGTAACACTCAGAGTCGAGCTCCCATGTTCTCTGAAGCCTCTCATGGTTATGTGAACATGCTTTTCTGCACTCTCAAGTCGGTGTCGGTTTATCACCAGTGCACTTTGGTTGTGGATTGTAGCCTATAGCAGTGAATGTGAATGTTCGATTCTGTACGTTCCTATTCTCTATGTGAACAAAATTGTTTGTGTGCTTGAAACGCTAAGATTAGAACAGGATGCTACCTTTTTGAATTACCAAACTGATCCAATATATGTATTGCTCGATTTCTAGAATGCATGAATCGATAGAAGGATATGAAATAATCATGTCAAATCTCAGATGCACACAAACTGTTTTGTTTGAGTTTTTGGGTTGTTCTGGATGATGCTGATTTTGAGAAGTGTTTTTACCCCACTAATAAACCTCATGCACCCCCCCCCCCAGCGGCTGGTGAAAATGAACATGCTCATTGCAGATGACAACAGTGTGCACTTCACCTCCACCCTGATGGCTCTGATCCGCACAGCCCTGGAGATCAAACTGGCTTCAGGTCGGTCTGGTGCCCTTTTCATTGTCTAAATGATTGTGTAATTATTGTATAGATTAGCATTTAGATAATTGTTCCACCTTCCCTCTCTTTTTAAAATCCATCTTTCTCTTTTCCAAATAACTCCAAATGTGATTAGTGCCTAATGGAGAGACTTACTCACTTATTCAGTGTGATCTGTTCTGCTGCTGCTGCTAGTGCCATTTCCACTCTTCAGAGCAGTGTGTGTGGGATGGTGTGTGTAGCATCTGTTGTATCACTCTGAGTGTTTGGCACTGGATGGGTTTTTCTAGCTTCATTTTTGCTTTGCGATGTATTGATCTAAATTCACTTAACTTAAATAATGTATTAGTCATTTTATATTATAATTATTATTTTGATAACAGGAGATTAAATAGTTGTTCTAGCTTCACTAAATTCTTCCAACTCCTCAGCAAAAAGTGTTTGCCTTTCAATGCATTGATCTAAATTCAGGAACTTATAATTATATTACAGGAGATAAAAAGAGAAATGTTGAAAATATTTATGAAACACCAAAATAATTAGACTAAACTGAATTGTGTATATATAAGATATAGTCTAATTAGCCTCTTTCCTCTGTGTTCATGAATATCTCCACAGGCATGGTGGCCCAACGTCTGTCAGATGCTGAACTGAAGAAGGAGCTCGCTACAGTCTGGCCAAACCTGTCTCAGAAGACTATGGACCTGCTGGTCACTCCGCACAAACGTAAACACATTATGAATCATCACCCAGGAGATCCTTTCTTACTTTTACTACAGAAATACTTGCATCCACATATTACAAGACTAACACTGAAGTACAGCCTCATGCTTATGAATTATCTAAACAGAACCCAAGTAATTTGACATGTGCAAACATCTCCAAATACAATACACAGCGACATCTTGTGGTCACCTGTGGAACGTCCAAACAGCACATAACTAAGGTGCATTTGTCTTTTTGCAGCCAATGAGCTTACAGTGGGGAAGGTCTATGCGGCTCTTATGATTTTTGACTATTACAAGCAAAACAGAGCCAAAAGACTTCAGATGCAGCAACAGCAGCAGAGAGAACAGGCAGGACCTGGATCTCAGGTGATACATATATACACTTACACTACTAATCAGATTTTTGTGCAATTTTGCACATTTTTAAAATAATATTAAAGTCATCAAACTGTAAAATAAATAGATGTTCAATGAAAATGTATGTATGTTATAATATGTAATAGAATAAAATTAGATACATTTGCCTACACTGATTTCAAATGTAAGCCTTTAGATATTTCTTTAAGGTCATAAAAACATAAAGACTGTGTAATCTTCCAACTGAAAGTGAATGTGTTTTGATTCTCTCTGTTTGAAGAATAAAGTCAGTGCTCTTTTAGAGCCTATTCTCCCACTAACCCACATGCAAGATCAGGCTGTGAACAGTGTCGATTCGGCCTCAGAGTTTCAAGCTCAGACCAGACCAAGCTCCACCACGCTCAACAACGGACGCACACAGTGAGCACAGAATCCTTGCTGCATTCATATTCAGTGCACACTTGAATTCATCTCTTTGTCATGACAAGTGTATCTACTCTAATACGTTGTCAAATTTCATGCCCAGTCTTGATAACACAATAAAGGGATCTTCATCCTGGGCCTCAGAGAAGTCCAAGGAGGTCCCACGATCTAAACGACGGCCAATGTCCAGAGGTCAATCAGAGGATGCCTCAAATGCAAACACTGCCCAGGTGCTGTAAATAAAAAATGCTGACTCTTTCTGACACATGCAATGTCTTTCTTTAATGTGTATTTAATCTCTTATTGTGTGTATTTAATAGGAGTCAGTAGAAATGTGGAAGATGGAGAACAGTGCCAACGCAGTGACCTCTGGCAGCCTTGAAGGCCAAGGACGTGCAGTATCCATGCCAAAACTCAACGCAGAGATGCAGGTATTATATTGAATCAATGTTTTGCACTAAAAACTTTCTGTGTCTTGCTCTAAATTGTACACACACACACACACACACACACATGCACGCACGCACGCACACACACACACATATATATATATATATATATATATATATATATATGTATATATACAGTGCCCTCCATAAGTATTGGAACAGTAAAGGTAAAATTGCTTTGTTTGCTGTGGAGTCAAGAAATCTGTAAATATGATTAAAAGATGAATATGAGACAAAACTACAGATTGTCGCATTTTATTATTGGGTGATTCAACACATAGATGTTTTACCAGCTAAGAAGATCAGCACTTTTAGAGTTTCATCCCCCTATCTGATGTGAGCTGAACCTGAAGTATTGGAACAGTTGCCTCACAGGTCTTTCTAAGTGATCAGCTGTGTCCTGTTGCATTAATTCTTCAGATATTAAAAGCAGGGAATGTGTCGTATTTATATCCATTGCTTCTGCATTCTGAGTCTTGCATTCGAAGATGACACACCATGATGACACAAATTGATGACACAAACCAGGATGAAGACGAGGGAGCTGACTTTGAGAGAAAAGCAAGCAATTTGGATGCTAAAAGAAAAGAGGAAGTCAATTAAAAACAAAAGGCATGGAGAAATCAAGAGTTTGGAAACCACCAGCGACATCAGCAATCAACAACAACCTGATCAGCTGAGAAAAACAACAGTAGTTGATGACAGACAAATCATAAAAGCTGTGAAAATTAACCCTAAAATACATGTCTGTAAAATCATCAAAAACCTCCAGAAAGCTGGGGTGATGCTCTGACAATCTATTGTCCACAGGAAACTTTGACACAGAACTACAGATGCTACACAGCAAGATGCAAACCTCTGACAAGCAACAAAACTAGAAAGGCCAGATTAGAGTTTGCAAAAGTCAGTAGAGTTTTGGAACAGAGTTTTATGGACAGATGAGACAAAGATTAACCTTTGTCATTAGTTTTGAACGAATCGTGTGAATCATTGATTCAATGGCCCATTCATAAAGACAGCCGTTCCCATTCAGTCGGTTCACTCGGTACAACACATGACTATGGGATATCGCGCTCTTGCGCCATCTGCTGAAGACACCTATATTCAAACCTGAAAGGCCAACGACGCATGACGACGTGGGCGGGGCTACCTGCCAGTCGCATGCATCATTCCCTTTGTTCTGTCCAGCTCTTCACCGAGCTTCCAGCTGTGGGGGGCCTGGAGGTGTTGTACCTCGTTTCCCTCCTTCTGGGAACAGTAGTTATATGCATAACTCAACGTTCCCATTCAGTCGGTTCACTCGGTACAACACATGACTATGGGACATATATACATGCCCCGCAAAGTCGTCGAACTAAACATAAGGAACCAGTACCGCCACATACACCTTTATTTTACAAGGGAGTGATGGCCTGCGGTTTAAAAAGTCCCGTGGTAAGCACAGACATAGCTACCGTTGCCGCAGTGACGTCTAGTAAACAAATGAACAGACTAGTGCAGTGATGCCTAAATGGCAGTCGCACGAACAACTTAAACCATACCCATGATGTTTCCACACCCCTCGTAGAGCGCCCGTGCATCCATACGGGTATTAGTCATAACAGGCATGTCTTACATGCTATAGACACAGCTTTCTACAATCCAATGTGAAAAACGCCATTCAAGTAGTGGCTTCACACGGGCACAAAAAGCTGGTCACAGCCTGCATCTGCTCACTGTACCTGCATACATCTTGTACAAGAGCATGAAAACTCCTGTCTTCCTCTGAATCAGAGATTTGACAGGGCAGGCAGCTTGAACGGAAGTGCACTCCTGTCTGGTGTATACCCAGATAGCACACGTACGTCTGCAAGTCAAGATGTCTGTTAAAGATCGCTTGATCTGTGTACAAACATCTGACAGGCGCCTTTAAGATGTCAGTTTTACATATGTTCTAAATCATAAACATCTTAAAGACATCTAATAAATGTCCACTTGACATCTGATAGGAAACGTCCTATATAGGCGTATTGCAGATGAGCAAATACTGTAAAAAAACATCTTGCAGATGTAAACGCAAATAGACGTCTCTGTGATGAATGGGGCATTCATATAACGCATTCATTGTGTATCGCTTGTATACCCAAAGCGCTTTACAATCATATGAGGGGATTTCTCCTCAACCACCAGTGTGCAGCGTCCACTTGGATGATGCGAAGGCAGCCACAGTACAACGGTGCCAGTGCGCTCACCACACACCAGCTACACGTGGAGAGGAGAGAGGGAGGAGTGATGCAGCCTACGCGTGCCATCAGGGTACGCTGCGTTCGGATGCAACACCACCCAACTCAAAATTTGATGCACAAGGGATGCACCGACAGCGCATAAAGATCCCCAATGCACTTCTCTGATGCCAGTGCCAACCACCGGGTAGCATCCTTAGACTCAAGGATTCTAAAGGCTCAAACAAAGGTTCACACATAGTCTGTAGACCTAAGCCCTAAGTACTTCGGCTGCCCGCATTCCACGCACCTTCCGTGTGACATAAACCTTGTCAACAGGTGAGCGTCCGCGGACATCCACGCACACTGTCTGCGTGCAGTACAATTTTTGCGTCTGTGCTGACAGTGTGTGTACCACAGCACACGTGCAAGTGACTTGAGCGCTTGGAAACAAAGTCAACTAGAAAGTGTGTATACGCTGAACACGTCTTTCTGCACTTATGGCCAAAGGAGTACCTTGAAATGTGTACGTTCTAACGTGCGCTAGATGGAGCAGAACGTGGAAGTTCCACGATGGTCCGCTCACTGCCTGTATGACATGATTGCCATCATCAGGAGGGTCCCCGTGCAGCCCAACCTTTGTGACTGTGCGGACAACGTGCGTACAACAGCGCTTGTGCGGGTGACTTGAGCACTTAAAACCACTTACACAATACATACGCGCCGAATGCGTCTTCCCATGCACCCCACCAAAGGAGTATGCTTCGAAAAGCTCACTCCCACAACCTTGCGTGAGACAGAGCAGAGCTTAAAAAATGAAGAATACCCGGTCATTTATGGAACCGCAAGGCAAGCAGGTGCGTGCTTCAAATGGCGCAGCAGCCTCAATGCAATGCCCTCATGACAAGACAAAGCGCTGTTCAATAACCTCCATTGTGGAATGGAAATGACCTTCCTTCAGAAAATCAGTATCCCCTCAATCGGGCACTGACATGGCAATAACGAGCCTTGCCCGCACCAAGCTTTAAATATGCAACAATCTTCCCATTGCAGGCATTCTTGTCAGATCAAACAGATCTATCAGATTTTCCCTCTCAACAGGCAGGCCCTAGCAACCACAGTTCCAGCTGAGGGTGCAAAGTCTGCCTCCTGCCTGGGACAGCAGGTCATTGCATAGGGAAATAGACACTACGGCGTCCTTAAAAAGCAATGTCATTATGCTTGCGTGCCATGTATTCGCTGGCCAGTGAGGAGCCACCAAAATCAGTGACAAACCCCGCACCCTGTCCAGGGTGGGCTGTATCAATTCCCTCAGCGGGAATGCAAACAGCAGGGCCCTGGACTATACAAGCGACAAGGCATCCATCCCAAGTGAGGCCTTCCATAATCAAGAAAAGAGCGGGCAGCGCGTGTTTTCTGCAGATGCAAAAAGATCAACACCGGTTCTGTGGAACCCGATCCCAGATCTGCGCGATCCCAGATTAGTACAAACATCACTCCATAGGGGACCGCAGGTCTGCCCCATATCCAGAGCGTCCGTGCCAGTTGTAGCAGGGGAAGAGAACAAACGCTCCCTTGCCAATTATGTACGACACCACATGTCGTATTTCTCATTCTGACTAACACGTTTGCCCTACTGGGCCAAGTGTCTCAGCACCAGGAGAACTACACCAAAAAGTTTATTTGATGCTCTTACAGCGCTGTCGACCACTTCGGAAGGCCAAATAAAGTGCTTTTGCTTTCGCCTAGAAACACAATGCTTCTCCCTGACATGGCTGCATCAACACTAACTGATGTTACTGAAACCACGCCTTCGTTCTTTGCGTGCACATTTGGGCGCATTATGCAAATATTTCCACATAGTGAGGTAGATATGTGGGGGCGTGTTAGAACCAGCCGTTTTAGAGGGGCGTGGCAGAGTCTTAACTTTGATAAAGAATATCTCTTTGGTTTTGAGACTTTAGTCTTTGCAACTTCAGGGATCTTATCTATGCACAATCAGCTTACAAACAACACTCCAAAGAGAAAGGAAAACTTGAAATCGCATCATATGACCCCTTTAAAAGTTCCTTGTCCATATCGTGAGTGACGCATTTGTTGTCACTACTACTTGTCACTACTACACATGGCGTAACCCTGCCCTGGGTATTCCCTCTGTCAACAGATTGGGGTTTCCCAGGGGATCAGTGCCTCAACGCACATCGGCGCTATCGACACATGTCTGTTTTAAATGTTACGCGGTATTCAGCGCACAGCACCGGAACCCACGCATAAAGAGAAGACCAAGCCGTATTACTGCTATCAAAGCCATGAGCCCCAGCATTCTCAATTAAGAAAAACGCGCTCGCCTCCTCAGCCGAAACTGAGCCAGAGAGCTGTGATAATCCTCTGCCCCTGTTGTGCTTTGAGTCTGTCCGCCGACTCAGACATATCATCCACTGACTCTGGGCCAGCGAGCTCCTTTTGAGATTCATCAGGAATCCCAGAGCTCATAAATTGAAAACAAGTGTACGTGTTTGAAACCCTGCTTGTTTCCCGCTGTCTGCAGCCAGGAGTAGGTCTCCCAAATTAGCGAACAAAATGCTCAGATGGCAACGCAGAGCCGCACTGCTTCTGCACACCTTGCAGATATGTGTGGCACTAGGGACCCAAAAAATGTAGGCACCCTCCACGGAGACCTCAGAAAATTTCTGTGCCCCGGGTGGCCATATTCAATTCAATTCAGGTTTATTTGTATAGCGCCTTTCACGATACAAATCATTGCAAAGCAGCTTTACAGAACATATTATATGCATCGGGCAAACCCACTGATGTAAGCCAGTCCTGAGGATGCATTGCAGAGGGCATGACAGGTGACGTATTATAAGCATTTTGAACTTATAATACATTAAGTGCTTGTTCAACAGTCATGAATCTAAGGGTGGAAAAAAAACTTTTCTTTAGAAGGAGGAAGTAACGGCTGCGAAACCCTCTTCCTCCATCTTCCCCTGTGGCACCACCTGAATTGCCACCTTGCTGAGGAGAGTATGGATTTCCTCCCTCAGCACTGGGGAAGCCCTCTCGGGCACCACTGTTGCAATTACTCCGCCGAAACATGGGAGGGTGCACGAAAGAATGCGCAGCTTATAGCCCCATTGGAATCGTGCGAAGAACCCACAGTGTTATTGCACGTGCGTGCCACTGCTTCAGGTTGACAGGGAGGATCCCGGTGTGGTGACAAATCACCTGGGGAACTCCCGTGCCCCTTTTTATTTGCATTAATAATTTATTTCATCATATTGCATATCACTGCATTTACCTCCTCTGTCAGCACATGGCCCGATCGTGAGGTAAATAATTCCAATGTATCGTGATTGTTTCGACAAATCAACACATATGACCTTGAATGATGAACACACATTCTTTTATTGACATCATCCTCAAAACCTAACCCCCTATCTTGCAGGGTCTTTACAAAATTCAGATATATCATCAGGCAGGTTCTCATCACTGTTTCTACAGGAGTCAAACATAACCCGCGATCTCTCTGTATTGGAGGAGGGTCAAGCCACTCCACTGACAAACTTTGCTGCCACTCTCCAATACAGACCCGTGCAAGGGACCCAGCTTGAAAAATATAATCAGAGCATTCCTCGTCCGCATCTAGCGAGACAGTTAAAGTTCTGCTCAGACTCTGGGGGCGGCCAGAGGAACCTTGTCGTGAACACTACACCGACTTCCCCACAATCGCCCTAATACTCCATGGCCATGCCAACAATGGTGAGAGCCGCATCAGGATAATCCCCGGAAGACTGGAGCGGACCATGTTTGGCCACTGAGCCACCAAGCACATGCTACACACCGCGTAAGTGCGGAACGATAGAATTGCTGGCAGCGCACACACACACACCTGTCTTTCTCACATTTCTCATGAGAAAGTTTATTAGCCATTTGTTAGCTGTGCTAAACTTGAGCTAAAAACGTCTCTTTTATGCCTTTTCTTCTTCAACAAGTCACCACCGTGGGTTTTCTTGTGAATGTGGCGTGACGGTGTTCTAACAGCGTGGTGAAGAGCTAAAGAACAAAGGGAATGACGCATGCGACTGCATTTATATGCTGTGGGCAGGTAGTCCCGCCCACGTTGTCATGCGTCATTGGCTTCAGCAGATGACGCAAGAGCGCGATATCCCATAGTCATGTGTTGTACCGAGTGAACCGACTGAATGGGAACGGCTGTCTTTATGAATGGGCCATTGAATCATTGATTCACACGATTCGTTCAAAACGCGGATTCGTTCAGAAACTAAACACCGCTGTGTTGCTCGAAGACGCAACAATTCTGCTATGGCTTTAAAGGTAATATATTCTTTGCAAAATTGAGCAAAAACACATAATATTGTGTTTGAAATATAACACAATATCAACTTCTTATTTACTGAACTGTTGTATAAAATCACATTTAAACTTGTGATATTCGGGACAAAATCATCACTCGTGTAATAGCCTACTGCTCTCCCTGCTCGTGAAATATCGTATGATATAAATATTAGCCAAAAACACATACAGTACAGGGGCATTTTTGCACCAATATCTTGAATTTTAGGGCATAACTGCATTTATGGAGTTGTTGCCCTGCATCATATTTGTCAACAATCAACTATATGAAATGTAAGATGATGTACATGTCTGGGGGTGGGGCCAGTGCGTTAAAATATTTTAATCGCGTTATTTTTTATAACTACTTAAGTTAACGCATTAAACTGACATCCCTAATATATATAAATAAATATATGAGTCAGTCAATACAATTATAATTATGACAGCACATTAAAATACTATGATAAGAAATACCTGTTTGCAATATCAAGCATCACAACGAGCTGTTTTTACAGCTAAAATAAGTGGAAGCGGATGACACTGGAAACCTCGCACATTCAAGTTACAAATGGCCACACACGCTATTACATTAAAAATAGGGTGAATATGTGAAGAGAACATTGCACGTTTATGTATTGTTGCATTGTTTTTGCATGCCAAGTCTAATGAAAATAGGACGTTTGTCCTATTTCAGGGCACAGGGGAAGTAAAACATAATACAATTAGTGTTTGGTAGGTTGCCAGATCTGCACCCTGGATCGGTTTTCAGCTTGTGCAGGCTAAGAGGAAGTGAAATGAAGCTCACAATCTGAATAAGTAGACTCAAGAAAAAAGGTTGAGATTACTTTATGGTTATTTTGAGATGGATTTAAAAATCCATATTGGATTGAATTCTGAATGGCATTCTTCTGTTTTTATTTTAAATGTAATTTGCACAGAACCGCTAAAAGGCTAATGCATTTCACTAATGGATTGTGTTGTTTTGGGATCTCAGCTTTTAGTTTGCTTATAGTTAATGTTATAGTATGTGAGAAGAACAACCAAGACATTGGAAAAATAAATCTAAAATCATCTGACTATGAAATTCACATTCCATTTGGACTCTGCAAAAGACAATCCGTCCATTAAGACTCATCAGGATATTCCTCCTATCAAATCACACCTATCCCACACCTCTCTAGTGCTAATGGGCTGCTCAGGCTCACTGAGTGCCTCTATTTCACTCCCAAATTTGATTCCCATCCAAAACCAAATCTCTTTAAAGTGCTGGACTAACCGATAAGAGACATTAGATGCGCGTTAAATATTGCATGCGATTTATCGTGCAGCCCTAATAATAATCAAGGACATAAATTCCCAGAGGGAAGCTTAAAGGGATAGTTCATCCAAAAATTAAAATTCTGTCATTAATTACTCACCCTCATGTCGTTCCAAAACCAAAAGACATTCGGAAAACAGATTACCATATTTTTGATTAAATCCGAGAGCTTTCTGACCCTGCATAGACAGCAATGCAACTACCACTTTCAAGGCCCAGAAAGGTAGTAAGGACATTGTTAAAATAGTCCATGTGACATCAGTGGTTCAACCCTACATTTTTGAAGCTACGATAATACTTTTCAGACTCTGCAAAAGACAATCCGTCCATTAAGACTCATCAGGATATTCCTCCTATCAAATCACACCTATCCCACACCTCTCTAGTGCTAATGGGCTGCTCAGGCTCACTGAGTGCCTCTATTTCACTCCCAAATTTGATTCCCATCCAAAACCAAATCTCTTTAAAGTGCTGGACTAACCGATAAGAGACATTAGATGCTGAATGTAACGTTTCAGCACCTGCTAATATGTCCAAATCCCTCTGTTTTCTGCGGGGGAAATCCCTTCACCATTGGCACCTGGCCATCTCTAGTCCTTCTGCTCAACGGATAGAGCCAAATTACAGCCTCAAATGCAGATTTAGTTAAACCACAACCCAGAAACTCTGCAAAACTATGATATTAGGAAGATCTGCAAAGATATTATGATTGACAAGTGTGCCTTAAGGAATGACTTGTGTCTGTCATGGATGGATAGAAGGAGGATGGATAATAATTAGGGCTGCACGATAAATCGCATGCGATATTTAACGCGTGACATCAGTGGTTCAACCCTACATTTTTGAAGCTACGATAATACTTTTCATGCACAAAGAAAACAAAAATAATGACTTTATTCAACAATTTCTTCTCTTCCATGCACATTCACGAGAGTACCACAACATGATCATTATTTTTTTTTCTTTGCGCACAAAAAGTATTCTTGTAGCTTCATAAAACATATGAAACATTTTAACGATGTCCTTACTACCTTTCTGGGCCTTGAGTGTGGTAGTTGCGTTGCAGTCTATGCAGGGTCAGAAAGCTCTTGGATTTCATCAAAAATATCTTAATTTGTGTTTTGAAGATGAACAAAGGTCTTACGGGTTTGGAACGACATGAGGATGAGTAATTAATGACAGAATTTTCATTTTTTGGGTAAACTAAGTTGATTCACTGCAAAAGGCGACAAATAAAATCATAAAATCAAATAAAAATCATAAAAAATACAACATTTTTGAGCATTCAGAACTATCATTTGGCTTTGTCTTGTTTACACATATGCAGTGTTACAGGTGAAGTATGTAATTTCTACACTAGTCTAACTATATGAAATCACAAAAATACTGTCTATCATGCAGAATGACTTTTAATGTTTCTTTAAAGTACATTATCATGAAAATTTCTTTTTTTCCCTCTCTCCATGTCTTCCCTGCCCTTCACTTCTATTTTGTCCTCTGACGCGCTTCATCAGAGGAGTCATTCCCGTCATTCTCCTGGGACTTTACTGGAAGTAAGAACAACTTTTTGTATTCAGTTTTCTAAGAATATATTCTTGGCTTGACATAAGGATCTCCGTCAGTGGGGCATCAGCACACTTCTGAGAGGGTCTCAAAATTATTTAAATAGTTTTGAAATAATACAAAACAATCCTTGGAGTCAACCACTGAGCTAAACTTTGTTATTGGTTACAGTAAGTCCCAGGTCTGTTTGTCCTCAGTGTCAGTAAGAATCTGAGGATTAGCAGCCTGTTGTACTGCAAAACATGAAATCAAAGGAAGTCTAGTACAGCGACTCTAGAGCCAGTGACCTTTGATCATTTCAGACAGATTCAGAGGCACACCATTAAAATGCACCTGTGGATGGGAGCATAAATTGAGGGTCTAAGCCCAAAATGAGTGTTTCCTCAAACGGGATTAGCTCAGCTGCTACAGATGTTACATTGCCTCTGATACTTTGATATCATAATGATCCCTTAGATCGTTACTGCGGTCTGCAGTTCATCCCTGTATTGATGCATCTGAGATAAAATGGAGGTTTAGCATACAAGGAAGTGTTATTATAGTCAGCATTCTTTGTAATATTCCAAGATAACAATGTCCAAAAGCATTCATCTGACTTTATGTAACCACCACCTTGTTTTCTTTCTCAGACTATTCCTGATTCCCCCATGAGACGCTCCGCATCCACTTTTGCACCACAGCGCCCTCAGGAGGTGAATCTGAATGACTACACTTTGGCGAAACCTGTTCAAGAACGACATCACCACCATCACCATCATCACCGATGCCATCATCGTAGGGACAGAGACAAGAAACAGAGATCTCTGGACAGGTCGCCCACTGGACAACACAAAGCTACAGGTCAATACACTTCCATTAGATCCCTGTAAAATTCAACTAAAAAAACTAGCTGCATGAAGTGAAGAAGCACAATGTTTTATATGCGGATCTCTCTGTAGATTTTTAGTTGCATTGGTTGAACTGATCTTAAACCCAGACGGGATCAGTGAAGTGCAGAAGCAGGACCTGGTGTGAGAGCGTCCGGCCGCAGCTGGCCTCTATTAGCCAGATAAAAGGGACTGACAGACATGCAGACCCATGACCTGATAATTTATGGTTACCTCTCAGCAGGCCAATTGAGAACAGGGAAGAAAAATTCAGGCGGTCAGGTTTTTGACTGGAGCCTGCTGAGGAATGTGAAAATCCAGAGGAGAGGGAGACTGGGAGAGATGGATCTGCCACAGCTGGGCTCAATAGCTCAAGAAATCCTGTTGTTTTGTTTTATTTTTCCTTTCATTTTCTTAAAAAAAAAAAAAATGAAAGAAAAGAAAAAAAAAATCAGGAAGGGGTAAAAAAAAAAAAAATCCTGACCTTTTCTTAAGTTTGGCACAAATAATTATACTTGAATTTAAAATATTTTTTTTTTTCTCAGTTGTTAAAATGGAAGCGTTTCTTACTACATTTTTAAAAGAAAATATGACCAGATATTGCATTGTATTTTGCTTTCCACACTACAATACATTTTCTTCTTGTTTTATAGTTAAAATAACAATAAAAAATTATAAATGAACTTCAGCAAAATTATGCAAGATATCATGATTTTAGATATCAACGTTTTGACTTGATTTCCAGTAAAAATATTATAAATATACAAATATTATAAAAAGCAAAAATATTGTATTAAGACTAATTCTAATTGTTTTATTTACCTTATTGGCAAATAACATGTTTTTCTTTAAGCATGAAGTGAATTTTGTAGTCAAAACATCAAAACGTAAGTAATTTAATAATAATAATAATAATTTAAAAACGTCAATCACAATTTTGCTTTTCAACTTCAACTTTTATTTATTTGTATAGCACATTTTAACGCAATTTTGTTGCCCAAAGTACTTCACAATTTATAAATAAATAAACCACTTAATGAACCAACCCACAGATGACAAACACCCTTTATCTGGTCATTACACATCGGGGTTGTTCCTTGGTCATTACACATCGGGGTTGTTCCTCTACGAAAGGGAGGAACTGCCAGTAACAGTTTATCTGCTGATCTCAGTGTCCTAGCTGATGTATGGTACTCTAAAAGATTGGTGATATAACTGGGGACATGTTATGAAGTGCTTTAAAAACCATTAATAAAATTTTAAAATCGATCCTGTACTGAACTGGTAGCCAATGGAGAGAGGATAATACTGGAGTAATATGATCCCTTTTTTTCGTGCCTGTCAAAAGCCTGGCTGCAGCATTCTGTACAATTTGCAGACGAGATAGTTGTCGCTGACAGATCCCAACATAAAGAGAATTGCAATAATCCAATCTCGAGGTAATAAATGCATGGATAATGGTCTGGGACTGTAGCGAGTGCTCGTTCCCGACTTTAAGTGGTAAATATATCTGAGTGTCATCAGCATACATATGAAAGGAAATGTCATAGCGACGACATATAGATCCAAGTGGGCACATGTACAATGAAAATAATGTAGAGCCCAGAATAGAACCTTGAGGAAGACCATATTTTAAAGGAGCCACAGAAGATGAAGTATTTGAGAAATTAACAAAAAATGTTCTATCATGCAGATATGAATAAAACCATTTTAAAGCTGTTCCTTTAATGCCTACATCACACTCCAAACGTTTTAAAAGGATCGAGTGATCAACAGTGTCGAATGCTGCACTGAGATCCAGCATAATTAAAACAACCCCCAACCCAGAGTCAACTGCCATCAGTAAATCGTTCACAACTTTTACCAAAGCGGTCTCTGTACTGTGACCAGCTCTAAATCCAAATTGGAATTTATCCAGAATATCATTTTCAGTTAATAAAGGGGTAATTTGAGAAAAGTCAAGTAAATTTGTCTAAAGATAAGATAAATGTACGGATTAAGAAAAGTCTTTGTTGCAGTGCATGTTTTAATGGCTTGTCTTTCTTTCCCTCATGTTTTTGGTTGGTTCTCAGGCACAGCAGCTGACCCTGTAGAGGAGAGGCCGCATGACCGAGGTCGTTCCCATGAGAGGAAGCATCATTCGTCTTCAGCGGAGAAGCAGCGGTATTACTCATGTGATCGTTACGGCAGGCGGGAACACTGTCCCAGCAAGTCTGCCGTGGCAAGCTGTGCCACCTCGCCCAGCGAGGCCCAGGAGGCCAGTCTCAACAAGCAGGTGGGATAGGGTTGTCAAGACAGGACAGGGACATGTGTTAAAATGAAAGGCTAGGTCAGAAGTTAGAGACTGGATAATGATCAGGGAATGAATAAAAGGATCTTTTGAGTTTGATCTAATGAAAAACATGTTAGGGATTTGAGACAAGGTAAAAATTAAATAGTTATGAAGGTAGAAATCTGTGGAAAGTGCCAAGATGCATTAAACAGTAATGAAGATAATGTTCTGAGTTAAACACAGGTTATGCTCTATGGTCTATAGCATCTGTGTCCCTCAGTATAAAAAAAGCAATACACTTACAATGGAAACCAATGGGACTTTTAAAATGCACACAGTTTAACACATATTTAAGACTTAAATATTGTACCTTAAAAAGAGACTTACATGATAAATCTTTTAACTTCTGTCATTACCATACACCTGGTATCCTTCACAGGATGCATGAAATGATACTAGAAAGGGAGGTGGCATAACCTTTTGCCAAGGACTGGAGCAAAGTTTTCCCAAAAATCAGAAGATCTTGTTAGTTACTGGATCATTTCTTCAACTCAATGGACTCTGTCTATTCTAATATATCTAAGTCTTTCCGTTATATTTCGAATAATATGATAACTAATTATATTAATATAATAATATAGTATATTTTATATATTATTAACCTTTCTCATGAGTTTCCACTGTAATTGCATTAATATAAAAGTGTTTATTGTTTTTACAAACTGAGGGCCTAGTTTAAAACCTAGAAATAAGTTATCCACTTTATTTTTTAACACAGAAGTAAGCTATTTCCTGTGAATGTGCGAGACTTCTGGTTCATTAGCCACTATAGGTAAATACCTAGAAAAATATCAAAATGCTGAACACTGTACAACTACAGTATTTGCGCTACAAACCAGTGTGTTTTACAATTGTAAATCAAAATAATTTGACAAATGCCAATTTGCAAAATGCCACATCCACTCTTAAATTAAAAACAAGGTGGATAGTGAGTATTGGACTGATAAAAGTGCTAGTCTGTCATTTAAAGTTTATCTTACATTAGGTCAATTAGCTTTTATACCTTTTTAATGGAAAACAACAACAACAACGTTGCATTGTTTTCCTTGTCTAATAACAACTGATTTGTCTAAAATTACAATCTAAAGTTTAGAATCATATCAGTTGTGTTTTAGGGATTTTACAGATGTTTAAGCAGAGAATTTGCATAGTACAGAATCCTCTGCACAGGCTGCTGTTGAATTTTAAAGCTCTCATGGCACCAATCACACAGAAATGCAGTAAAGTGCTAACCATTCCTACTCAAGCCATGAAGATATTGAGATATGATAGTTTTTTCTTCTAAAATGTTTTACATTTTGTGATATAAACATCATAAATGAAAAAGTGTCTCTTCTCTACGGTTGTAGTGCAACCACTCATAGGCTTTCACTTCTCTTTCCACTCTTCTTTCACACCATTTCTCTGTGCATTTGTCCGTCTTTTCTTTCTTTGTCTTCACTGTCATTTTCACTCTCTCCTTTCTTTTTGTCTTTCGTTTTTGTCTTAATCATCGTCCATCTTTTTCCGCTGTCTCGTCCAACATGTTACTCATCCTTTCCTTCCTTCCTTCTTTGGCCCCTGGTCCCTGTCTAACCTTTTGGGCATTTCCCCCTCATCATTTTATTGTTTTGATTTGCTTGTTTAATTTTCATCTAGGGCAGTGGGTGGGCTAAGGGGAGCCCGGTGTTGTTGACCTCAGGGGCGAGCACTCCAAGCCGTGGGCGCAGACAGCTGCCCCAGACCCCCCTTACTCCTCGTCCCTCCGTGGCCTACAGGACTGCCAACTCCTCCCCTGTGCAATTTCTGGGCACACAGGCCGGCTTGCTTCCCCCGAGTCCCAGCAGGCTGAGCCGCGGTCTGTCCGAGCACAATGCCCTCTTACACAGCGGCTCCATCTCCAGCTCACTGGCCCCCGTCAGTCGCATTAACTCAGAACCCTTCTTGGGGCCGTACGCCATCTTCCAAGAGGATCCGAGCCCTCAGACGGGCCATTTTGCCCAGACTGTAGGGATGCCGATTGTGGCGATTCCCCCACCTCCCCAACAGCAGTTCCGCGGGGTTCCCAACGGATACCACTTCATCACGGGCCCCGGGGCCAGCAGAGGACGGCCACGGCAGTACTACCCAGAGGCAGAGATGGACGACTGGTGCTAGCATGGCTTTAATTTACACACACGTACAGATGATGTTTTTGTTTTCGAATCATGATGAGTTTTATCATCTCTTATTTTGCGGGTGGTGTTAAATGCAGTAATACATGTATTTGTTTTTCAATGTCCAAAGGATAAAACATACATGTATGCTTACAAAGCAGCAGCAGATGTGGGATAAAAAGGCTCAAACCCACCTGACTTTGATGCATTTCAGTCAGGCTAAATGGTTTGATGGGTGTGGTCTTTTTAAAAACACTTAAGATTGACCATTTATATGAAAACACATGGGCTTTTTCTTAATCTTTGCCTTTCTAAGGGCAAAAGATGCCAAATTGTGCTTGTGTAACCTGGGAAAAGAGTGACCACTGCTTCAAGTGTAGACCACAATGGGCGTCTGGCCAGTTTCCCTCAAAGCCAGCCTCTGAGACGCACCCTTAATGCAAATATTCCCATAAAAATATTATCTTGGCGTTATAGATGTACCTTTTATGGAGCAAAAGTTTACAGAAGTGGCTGGAAATGCAAGAAACATTGTTTTATTCGACCTTTCATCTCCATCTTAGAGAATTCCACGTTATTTCACACTGTTGCGAAAGCAGATTGTTCATTATGCTGCCGATGACCATTCCTCGCACATGTCACTATGTGTGAAACCTTTGACAACCATAATGTACTTTGTTTTATATCAAATTGTAGATATTTTATCTATTCATTATGTGCTTTTTTGTATTGTAAAGACGAACGGTTTTACGTAAATCGCTTACGGCTTCACCATACTGTCAGGTCTACTGATTCTTCTTGACTGCTCCAGATGTTAATTACAAAGTGCCTAACCTTTTGAATATATTGTAGTAGTGATGCAACCTCAGCCTTTTTTAGTGCATCCACACTTGAGAGAGTGAACTGAACAAGCTCTAAGGGTTAAATGGCAATACCATGACTAAGGTGAGACCCTTAAGCAAGGCACCGAACCCCCAACTGCTCCCCGGGCGCCGCAGCAAAAAAATGGCTGCCCACTGCTCCGGGTGTGTGTTCACGGTGTGTGTGTTCACTGCTGTGTGTGTGCACTTTGGATGGGTTAAATGCAGAGCACTAATTCCGAGTATGGGTCACCATACTTGGCCACACGTCACTTTCACTTCACTTCAAAAGTATATGTTAGTATGGAGTACCTATTAAAAAACTGCAGTAGTTGTGTATTTGTCCTGACGGGGACTTTATAACCACAGTTATAAAATTGCATGTTAAAAAAAGTCTTCAATTCTTGATTGACCATGGTTAAGAAACCAATATTTACATTGTATATGTCCTGTCCTGATGAAGATGCTCAGACTGCATTGCTATTTGCCTTCTCTGTTTGATTCTTTGAATGGTTAGTTGCAAGGACTGAGAACTGAAGAACTGTCACAAAGGAGCGTGCTTTGCTCATGTAGCAGGTTTCCTGATGTGAGCGCGTGTTGTGTTGCGTTGAGTCAGGGTCCTGGCACCGGTACAGTAGGCCGATCTGTGTTAGGGTTAAACTTTCCCCCTCATGGCACTCCTCCAAGCACCCCCAGACACACATACACACTCACAGCTTTCATTCTGCCGCCGTTCCCCAGCTGCTGGCCGTATAGAAATATGGCCGGCTCCTTTTTATCACACTGGTAACATGAGAGGAATATTCAGCCACCTGAATTCAGAGGGTGAGGCAGTCTGAAAGAACAGAAAAAAGCCTCTGTATTGGGACACTGTACGGACAGGGATCATTTCACGAGTTCCGCATTGACATGCATGAATACATTAGACGCTTGTAGAATTGTTTGGCTAATCAGGTGATTCTTGGCCACTGATGTGTCAGGACTTTGCTGACAGTGAATGTTCTTTCATTTAAACATGTATTTTCTTTATGTAGGGCTATGCAACAAGATGACACTTTGGAAAATATACTTCATTCATTTTGTAGCTTTACCTGCTGGGAAATCCAGATTCAGGCTTTAGCATGATAGTGACCAAATCTTCTTCTTTTTTTTCTTTCTTTTTTTTAAATAATAATAATAAAAAATTTATGAAAAGGTATATTTTAGAATGCATAAAGGCACAATGATTAAAAAGCAGAAATCAGCAAAAAAAAAAAAATATATATATATATATATATATAAAAATTATTTGCAAGTTTCTGTATGTGCATGCATCAGAGATGTCCAGTTCGTCAGGGGAAAAAAGAAAAATGTTGTTTCAAATCTACGGTCTGAACAACTGCTATTTTTCTACATGCTCTGTGAGACTGAGGTTAAAGGATGTGCTGACATTTTGCTGATATCGTTATGAGTTGTTGCATTGTTCACGTGTAACTATGGAACAAATCTTTGCACTCCCAGCACATCTATTGATGTCCTTCGGCATGTTCTATCGATAAACCAATTTCTTCAGCTTCTCTATGATTTGGGAAAACATCATATTCATCTACCAAACCTTTCATAATTTATTGCCAAAATCTGAAATGCTCTTTTCCCCTGTACATCAAGCAAGCTTAAATGTGGCTGTTTCTGGAAAGATTAATGTTTGCATGGTCTTAAAATGTATGCGCATGTTGAAATACCCATGGTTTATCTTCGTACTTTTTGATACAATGCTTTCTTTTTTTTTGTTTGATTTTTTAAACGACCTTTGATATGAATTAGGGGATTTGTTGAAATAAAATAAAAAATGAATTGTTGAAACATTTATAAATAAAACAGTATTGATATGTTGACAGCTCCGTCCATGCATAAGAGCTGGCACATCCTTTATTTGATTTCTGCTATTGACTTGTTTGTTGCCTGATTTCTGTTCCATGGCCAGACTTTGAAATCTGCAGTTGTTTCTACTATAACATTTTTGTATGAAGCGAAGTCCTTGAATTAAAAAATGAACTCAAATAATAGAGATCTGTGGTTTATTGAATATTTAGCCTGTCCTGAAAACGTGCATGCAAATATATGACAATAAATCATATTATACGATATCATATTTATATGATAAAATATATGATATCTGCAGCATCGTAGAGTATTTTCTTTTTGATTGATGATGTTACAGATTGATCAAAGCATGAGACTGTACAGGAGTGGCAAGGTGAATCAGGGTTCCACCTGTCTGGAGGCTTACTTGGATCTGATTGGCTGGTTCGTGTGATGTGGGCGGACTTGAACGGGGATGATTGGGAAGCGTGCATTTGCGGAGCAAGAAGACTTCTAGAAGTAGACCGATAACAGATATCACGCTCAATACTTATGTAAACTTTCCATACCATAGACACGTCAGCTTCTAGGCTATAATTTATATTCATGGTTTTAATCATCATTTTAGTACTATTTGAGTGTTAACTGGAGGAACACTGCTTTTCAAATATGTGGTTCATTTTATCAATGTGTGCACTGGTTAAAGCTTTCCATGCAGACTTCTCGGAAACAGGATCTGGTGTCCCGGACTCAGGTAAAAACAGAGAGGAAACACTTCACCTGCCGACGCTCGCGTGTAGTGTAAACAAAACGATTAGCATTCAGTTTAATATTATGTAATTAGTTTACGTTGTTTAATTAAAAAAATAAAAATGGAATTTAAAAGAGCATTTACCTCACTAACTGACACGCTTAACTTTTTCTTAATCGTTTACAGTAACAACCTAAAGGTGATTAAGAATATTTTTTTTCTTAATTCGTTGTCATTTACCCGCATACCGCAAAATATGCTCTTAATAATACTAACTACAGAATACAGTCAGTCCTTGCATGGGTTATGACATTTCGTATCATTGCAGTAACGTTTTAACTATTTACATGGTCTAGTGCTGTTGTGTAGTATCCATATTATCCCGAGGTGGCGGTGTAGTAACGCATATAAATGTTGATATATTCTCTAATTATACATTACATTTTTGTCGTGTTTAAGTATAAGCTTAATCACTTGGTAATAAAAACTAAAACTATTACAGACTGCTTCAAGCTACTATAAACTCAAATAATGTATTTGCAGTTTGTACACTCTGATGGTAAAGCTCATGGAATGGTTGTCTGTCAACAGCTGTTGAACATATTTCTTAGTGAAAAGCCATATAACCACATTCAAGTTCTTTACATTTTTCTAGAAATCTGTTCCACAGTCTTATACCACCATGTCACAATTTGTACCTAAAACCGTCCATATGTGAAAGGAATCTGATTTTTTTTTTTTTTAATTGAGCTAATGTTACAACAGATTCTCATGGGCCCTGTTACAGCCACCTGTCCCATTGAATGTGGTTTGCCTTCTCAGTGGTTGGAGAACATTGTGGATAATCTGGGGATTATTAGAGCGAGTCTGCAGAACCCATTATGTAATCAGTGCAGTAACATGTTTTACAACTTTTAATAAGTTGTGCCATTCTTGAGTGTGTTAATTTATTCAGTGAATTTGTTGGTTTTCAATTGCTAGGCTTCATAAAATGTAGTCACAGCTCTATTGCCACCTGTAACACCTGTACCATTTTCAAACTACTGAGACAGATACATTAGATTTATAGGAGATGTTACTGTTTGTTAAAGCCCTAAATTACATCATTGAGGAGTTCATGAGAATGGTCAGGTCTCTGTATTGTAGTTTTTGGAAAAATGTTCTAGTTTTGCTGGAAATTTGGGGCACATCTTGCTTTTATTTGATCACGTGTACCACTTTGATCATGTCTGACTTTCAGAATGTGCAGATGTTGTTTTAAAAGCCCTGTCTGATTGTGGTACAATATCAGTGCCTTGTCTATGGGCAGAGAATAATGCATATTGTCATTTTAGAACTTCTTGGCAAGGACCTTCAGCAGGAGGTCAATTACTGTTTGATCTCAAAGAAAGAATATTGAAAAGAGGACAAAAATACAATATGTTCAATTTGTACAATATGTTACAGTTAACTTGAACCAAAGCTGAAAAAGTTCAGCTGATGTTTCGTTCCCTCCCATATTAAAATGAAAATGTAATGTGAAAATTTGGCGGATTTGTGGGGCCCGTAAGATATTTATTTATTTATTAAAAAGTCTCTTATGTCACCAAAGCTGCACTTATTTGATCAAAAATACAGTTAATATAGTAATGAAATACTCTGTAAAATAACTTTTCTATTTCAATATATCTAAAAATGTAATTTACTGTATTTCTGTAATGGCAAAGCTGAATTTTCAGCAGCCATTACTCCAATCCTCAGTGTCACATGATCTTTCAGAAATTAATCTAATATGCAGATTTGGTGCTCATGTAACATTACTTATTATTATCAATGTTGAACGGTTGCACTGCTTAATATTTTTGTAGAAACTGGTATACTTATTTTTTTTACAGGGTTCTTTGAATAGAAAGTTCAACAGCATTTATTTGAAATAGAAATCTTTTGTAACATTATTAATGTATTTACTGTCACTTTTGATCAATTTAATGATACTTGCTGAGTAGGTTTTTCTTTAACAAATATATTTTTTTTTATATGTGGATAGTTAATAGTTGATTAGTTGACAAGATCAAACAAGTGGGTTTGCTTTAGCCTATCAGTAGACAAAGAAAAAGGACATACAGAATATTGTTGTGAACACATGTTTTTCCTCAAACATCTTTTACTGTACTCTAATACACTCTCAGCCAGTGTTAGCCAGTCATGTCCTTACTCAATCATTACAGTGAGAACATCAGCTGTATGCATGATGTCACAGTGTTAATAGACAGATTGGCTGTCAAATGCAAGGTTACGGTCTGTTTGCTCTGAACACAATCCCTTCTTTCTTCTCATTTTGACTGTAAATCAAAGGTCTGGTGCGTCTGTCTCTGTGGCGACTTCAAGCAGGCAGTTATAGTAGCAGACATAATTAATGCTGTCCCTGATTGATTACCTTGTCTCTGGT